CCACTCTCCTGTTTCTAAACGTAACCCTGATTAGTTATGTCTGGTACTCATTTCCCCATGCACAAAATCACACCTCTTTGAATTACTCCAGGTGTCAAAAGAAGTGGAGTGTGTGCTGTTTTGATGGTGATGATGATGATGCTGTTGTCAAATAGTTCACATCCAATGACCTTTTGAATGTTTGGGCATGGTGGAAAGTTACTTATCTCCTCATATGTTATTTTTTTTGATAATATTGTTATTATGCTTGTCCACAACAGAAGTTGTTTCCCAATACATGAAAATGCAGAGAATAGTTGGTTTGTTGGATGGTGTTACTATGCCTTGCCTTACAATTTGCCACTAGTTAGGATGGATTATTTACTTATCTTTGCTTGCAAAATGTCAAACCTTGAATTCAAAGCTTGCAACCCCATGCATTCAAAAGTCCAACATTTGGATTGAGATCTTGAGGGAGGTGAATATTAGGAGAAAACTAGTTGTTATTTATTTATTTATTTACTTTTGTTGAGAATCAATATTTTGTGGAGTTTTGAAGTTGTTGTATATGTTCTGAATAAGTGCACATGTTATGGAAGACAAAGTGTTTCCATCAAATGTTAGAAAAAAAACTCTTTTGTTTTGGTAGAACAAAATTTTTGTTTTTTTGGTTTTGTTTTGTTTTGTTTTGTTTTTTTTTTTTTTCATTTACATCCAAATCTATTGTGTTGAATGTATGAAACAAATTTCTATAATTATTGTCCATGCTTTTTTATTTACTTTATTTTATCATTAAAACATGGTTTCTTCTTTTAATAAAATAATAATCACAATAATGATAATCAGAGAACTAATACACAAACATTACATTGAAAGAAGAACAAGCTCACACACATGATTAGCATCAATCAAACTTAAGCCATCACTTCGAGCTGGGTGATAATTCTACGTAAGAAGTTCAGCACAAGACCAACAAGATGATTCACAACTGCGAAGTCACTAATCTCTTCCCGAAGAGGACAAAACAACAGTGGGAGTTAAGGGCCTGACTCTAATAGCCACCCACGACCACAGCCAATTAAAAATACTGGTTTTACTGAACAAAAGAGGCCAAAGAAAAACCCAGAGCAACGGTACTGTCTACAATAAACCAGGACCAAAACAGCGATGTTGTGCTGGCTCGCATTATTCAGTCAGGAGGGGAAACCACTCCAGAATGTGGGCAATTCATGCAACTTTAGCCATCTCCTGGGCTCGAACGCTGAATTTACGACGTCCTCACCGTCTAGATTCAATCTGTAGAGCGCACGGTGGCACACGATCACAGGTTTGTGGTGTCATGGCTTCACTCTCCACCACCGAGTGATGAGGATCTGCAGCCGCCGAGCCTCCAAAAACCATGCCTTGTGGGGCACTTGGACAGGGCGGCGTGTTCCAGCTCCGGCCCGAAGTGGGAGAAGGGATTCGATTGATGAAGTGAAGTATGCTCGTGCGTACTGTTCCAACACGCAGACACAACAGCGCATTCCGTTACAGTGCTCACCCGTTTCCAAAAATAGGTTAAGGACAACTAAAATCCAATGATATTCAACAGAATCCGAGTCTGATTCCGGCTGTTGTTGGCGAATGAAATTGTTACTTATTCATCCGTCGCAGAGTACACCCCGATTCGTGTGTAGCCGATGCGCAAATTTAGAATGCCGGCGTTTAGAAAGGGGATTGCTTTTGTGAATAGTTTAGGGGTGTATCGGTCGGGCGGAGGGATGATTGCGACTGGATGAATCTGGGAAGATCAGTGTATCCATGAGAGCTGGACAACTGGGGGTGGCGATTGCCATCAATGCATCTAGAATCTGGTTTTTGGTGGAAAAAACACCGCTCATGTCGACGGATAGAAATATGAACATGGATTTGCTGGACAGGCTGAACAAATGTGGCTTTGTGGCAGCAGAGTGAAAGGTCTACCTCTTCAGAGATCGATGGGTTACAACCCCGTGGCGACAACGAGTCTTCACCTTCAAATTTCTTGTTAATCGAAGAGCACACGGCTGGTTTACCTTTCAATAGCCACTACAGAACTTGTGGTCATCCTATCTTCATCCCCTCCGATCCATACAAATCACATGAATTCCAACAAAATGTACAATTACTGCCTTATCTTCACACATACGCGTGCACGTAATCCTTAGTAAAATGTATGTATTACGAACTATGTCAACTTGTTATTTAGTACTTTTTTACATCAACCACGCTCAAATATTGATCTGATGTTCAATTTCCAAGTTGTCGAATAAAATCAACCCACGAGGAATCATGAATTGCAATGCCTGTTGGATGCTAAACCTTTCTAGCCGGGAACATTGGTGCGGTCATACTGGAGAAGAGCTATTTTACTTTACGTGACTTGTAGCCCGCAATGCTTATTCAAACAGTCCAGGTTCCCACCCGATGCCGGATCATCGGAGAATCCAGAAATCCTTGAATTTATTACCATTCCTAGGGGATCGAATTCGATTTTGCGGGTATAACGACTGGCGCCCGCAAAACAAGCTCTGTCCACCCTGCTCACCTCGTGCCCTGGAGATATGTGGTGAATTGCAGCACAGTGAGCGAGGAGAAAAGTACATTATGACGGTGGCAGGTGTATTAAAGACCAACATCGCTCGGCTGCCCGCGCAATTGTCTTCTCGGAGAAGGAAAATCCACTTGGAATCCCCGGTTTGCAGGATCGCGGCTTCGTGTCCTCACTTGGGAAGGATGGATCGCTCGCTCGCATTCCCTCTCTGCCACGTCCCATCACCCTGCGATTCGGCAGGACACCTTGATTTGACCCTAAACCCACTGAGCTCGTGCCAGACGAAGCAGTGAAGAATCGCTCTCGTGTTTCAAGCATGCGTGCGTATTTGTAGACATTCCTCAGACAAAATTGTAGGGGTCTGGAAAGAAAAATGAGATATTTTGATACAGTTTTTTTCTTATTTCTATCTACATAAAATTGAAGTGACAATGCCTTCATTAAGTAAAAGTTCAGCAAATACTTGCTCTCTGGTGAAGGTAGTTTGGTGGCATCACATAACACCTGTGATGCCATTTTTCTATACTGTGGAATGGGCCTCACTTAAGCTGTTAAAAAGGCAAAGCACAAAAAGTGAAAAAGAGACTCTGGAATCCTATTAAAACCCAAAGTAGGGGGAAAAGAAGGAGGGAAAAAAAAGGGATTGATGGGATTGGTGCAGTGGCCTCAACTCTGGGCCAGGCTTTGTCGAAATCTAGTATTATAAATGTTTATGGTTTTCTCCCAGTTAAACTTTTTGAAAACCTTCTCCAACGTGTGTGGACTCCTGGCTATTCCTCGTCTCACACAAAGATATATTAGCTTACTGAAGATGGATTTTGGATTCTAGGAACCAAATCATGATTGTTCCTAGGACCTGCAGGAAAGTAATAATGAAATATGTGCTAGGACTGAGGTGGAGACTATCCCTAAAACTTCAAGGAGGAGCTGGAGAGGGTGCCACTATTGCCGAGCCAGCTCATGACTGCAGCAAAATTCCGGCTCATCTCTAGGGATCACCAACATGATTGAAAACCTGCTGCTGCCCATTAGCCCTCAATTAACTGAGACGGATATGATCTTTACCCTGTTGCTATTTGGGTATGGATACTTCCAACTATGTGCCCATACACACACTTGTGCTAAAAAGAAGGAAAAAGCCAGTTTGTCTCAACAAATGTTCAACCAAATTAGACATGATTTGTGGGTATCAAACATCTGTTTTTGTTAGGTTGTTTTCACTTCATTGTCCCACATTTCATCCACTTGGGCATGAACCCTGAAAATATCAGACTCCTCCATGCGTTATTAAGTTGTCAGAATTGATTACAGGTCCTAAGGAGATGACACATAGGTGCAGCCCACAAGTTGAGCTCTACGTGGAATCCAGTTTACATAATAAACATGTGGGAGCAACAAACTATGACGGCGCAGGGAGTGAGTGAGCAGACAGATTTGAGGCAGCGTCGTCGCCAACGGTGAAAGGGGTTTCCCTAAGGCCATACTCATTCTAGGTAAAATTTCGTCGTGTGACCGTGCTTCGTCTTGTTCAAAAGTCGGCGAGTGTGACGGAACGTCTACAGCAGACGCAGTTGTGAGCTCCCTTGAATGTGCCTTGTGACTTTCTTTAGTGACGAGTAGGGTTTGCCCCTGCGGACCAGTCAAAGCAAACTCCCATAGGTGGAAAGCGCTTGCTATCTTGAACTTCGTGATACCTCGTTAGTCTCGGTGCTAAGCTACTGGGAGCGCGTTTTGTGGTGCACTGTTTCCGTGTGCCCGTTTTCAAAACTACATCTTCGGAGCTGTTGGGAGTGGTGACGACTGGTAGTTGATTACATTCTGTTGCTCGTGTGAGAGAGAGCTTTGATGTTGAGCTGAGCGGTAGCAGTGAGAGGATCTGGCTCCCTTTGAGAGAGGGAGAAAGGAGAAGTGTAGAGGAAGCGGGAGATGAGATTAGTAGAAGACTGAAGCAGAGTGAAGTGTGGCAAGTGGAGATCCAAGTGGTGAGTAAGCCTGAGTGATCCGTTTTGCGCTTGTTGGATGGTACATGGCAAATAACTGCAGCGTAAAACGTTAAACTGGCTTGTGATCGGTAGAATGGTTCCGGTGGATCAGGAGGGAGTATATGCATCAGCACAGTCGCGTTAGAAACACTGGACTTCTTGCTTTCTATGTAAGATCCTTTGGAGCGGAGATTGCAGCTTTCTTGCTCAGAAGCCGAAGTTGACCGTTGACTGGGTATTCTGAGTGTTAGTTTCACTTGTACTGGGTTTAGGAAGTACAGGCACATTGAGGTTTGGCATTTGCCTCGGTGGAGAAGCCAATCAAGCAGTGTTTTATTTGGAGTTTGAACGCCCGTACTGATTTTTGAAGACATAACGTTCTCGCATGCGGGGACATCTGTGTAGGCACTTCTGGATGGGGATTATGAGATTATCTCAGGGGGTGGTTCACTGTAATCCTTTCCGGAAGGACTTAGCATCCTCTAGAAATGTGAGGCGACTTGGTTTACCCTCTCTATGAACTGATCCCGTTGATTACTCATCAATAAAGTTTCCTCCGTTTCTCACCATCAGTGACAGAAGTAACTTCCACGAGTTGCACTCGCAAGGTGATTTCCGGAGGGCCTAAGTAGTTATCAAGTAGTGTTGATAACAGTATACTTCTTTAGTATCTGTTGTGTGGCCACGTTTGACAGCTCTGAGTCTAGTGTTACCGTGTTGTCTGGTCAAGTCTGTATGAGTGGTTGGCCATCTTCCTCCCACTCTTTTACATATAGTCTGTTTCCGGTTTACTTACCGTGAAGTTGTATTGGGGGTACTGTTGGCAGGATAGGACAAGTGAACAACACACCCACGGTTCTTCCAACGTAGTTGATTTTTACCTCAGAATACCCTGAAAGATTTGGTCTCCTGCCTCGTAGTACATTCTTCTTAGCGGACATGGACAATCCGAAGTGGCCTTACTTTGATCCTGATTACGAGACAACTTGTTCAAGCTTCAACTCTCCCAGGTCTGCCACATAGCTCTGGACTCATCCAGATGTAGAGAGCTTGTACACGCTTGCAACTTCGTTGTCTTGTATAAATTATCGGAGTTCACCTGGAAAACTGAGTTTAACAGTTGTTCATAATCAATGTGCAGGGTGACGGTTGAAACCGAGGCGAGTGAGAATGCCACTATCGTAAAAGTAAATAGTGCCAACAGGCATGGCATACTACTAAATGTTGTGCAAGTGCTTACAGACCTGGATTTGACAATAACTAAGTCTGACATCTTCCACGATCTCGGATGGTTTATGGATGGTGAGTGCCTGCAGCGTTGTGAGGAATGACATTGTTTAACAAATCTTTGAAGTTTTGGGTTGTTCTTGTGCTGCGTGGTCTTCACGGTGCTAATGGAGTAGTGTGCTATTGCAGTGTTCCACGTTGTTGATTCAAATGGAAACAAAGCCCTTGACAAACAGACATGTGATCACATCATGAATTCACTGGGGTACAGGACCAGAAGAGAGCAGTTTTCCGCAGATTCGCTGCGTCGCTCCACAGGGTTGACCGTCGCTGATCATACCGTAATTGAGCTAACTGGGCCTGATAGGCCGGGCCTTCTGTCTGAACTATCTGCAGTTCTGACTAGGTTGGAATGCAATGTGAATGCCGCGGAGGTTTGGACGCACAATCTACGAGCTGCGTCTATTGTATATTTTACCGACTCCAGCACCGGCCGCCCTATCACTAATCAGTCAAAGCTTGACTACATCAAAGAGCAGTTGTCGAGGGTCATGAAAGGTGATCACGATGAAGAAGTGGCAAGATGTAAGATAGAATATGCTACTGAGATTACCCATGTAGAGAGAAGGCTTCATCAGCTGATGTATGATGACAGGGCTAATGAAGTGCCAGATCGTTCTGGAAATATGCAAGGCAGGCCGGCGATTCATATAAAAAGAAACGAGCGTGGATATTCTGTAGTCAGTATTCACTGCAAGGACCGGCCGAAACTCCTATTCGACATTGTCTGCACGCTGACGGACATGCAGTATGTGATATACCATGCTTTGATAAACTTTCCTGGTTCCGAAACGTCTCAAGAGTTTTTCATTCGTCATGTTAATGGTTGTACTCTCGATACCGCTGCCGAGCAACACTTAAAAGCTTGTCTTGAAGCTGCTATCAGTCGAAGAACCAGCGAGGTATTGATTATTTCCTCTATTATGTGCGAAGTTCTTCTTTCCCCATTAATAAAGTTTGTTAATTGCGCCGATACATGTTGTAGAATCCATACTCTAGACCCACGAGGGAGTTTGCACTTCCTTAGTGCTTGGTGCGGCTCCATGCAGCGACTCATATTCGTTATCAATTGCAGGGTTTGAGATTAGAGCTCTGCATGAATGATCGAGTAGGACTACTATCGGATGTCACTAGAATATTTCGGGAGAATGGACTTTCAGTTGCCCGAGCAGACATCACCACCCGACACGACAAGGCTATAAACGTATTTTACGTTGTTGATGCATCTGGTCGCCCAGTGAACATGAAAGTAGTGGAAGCCATGCGCGAGACGATCGGCAGTTCATTGGAAGTGAAGGGACTCCCACGGTCGGAACCTGAGCTTCCAAGCACGAAGCTTTCCCTTGGTGGTCTTTTTCGGAACATCTATGGGCTCACAAACATAACCTGGCGGTCTACGGCAACTGCGTGAAGATAATGTTGACAACTGACGGCCTCAGTGATTGACTCTCGAATCATAACCTAACCGCTAACAAGGGAGCAAACGCAAAGTCTGAATATGATCATTTAGCTTTTGCAGGCTTGCGGCATCCAGCTGCTGAGCGTACAGGTAGTGTCTTATTCTCAGCTGATTGCTATCTTTAAAATTCTTACCGCTCAAGGAGCTTCTGTACATAAACACCAATGGTAGCAAGTTGGTGGGGGTGCTTGCAAAGGTAGAGCTGTACATAAATCCCATTTGAGGTGTCGTCCCTGGTGGGGGGCTGCGCAACATAGATTCTCCCCTTTGTACATAATCGGACTTCGGTCCTCACTTCATTATCTGAAACTAGCCCCGCCGTGGCTTGACTCACCACCTTGTTATGTCTCTAGCCTCTCTGGCATGTGACTGACTGATTTTGTTGTTAGATCTATTGCCGTCCTTCGGCTCTGTTCCTTGTATTTGAATAGAACACTGTCCCTGCTGGAATGAAGTCATCTCATCAGAGGAAATCATGAAATCCATCTTCGAACCATTGCCCAATATGAATTCCCACTTAGTCGAGTTATTTGTCCCATAGTTGTTCCCTTTCTCTGGGATGCTTGATACACTGCAACAATATAGATGGCTTCATCGGCATATCAGTAGAGTCTGCGAATATCTTCCACTTGTAAGAATAGGCTCTAACATCATACTTAAGATGTACAAATTCTGTTATTTGCTCCTATGTGTACAGAATGTTCCAAAAAAGCGTCTCTAATGTCCCGCTTCGATTCTTAGAGCCCGAATTTGTCTGTGTTCCGTTTTAAAAAAAGTCCCACGAGTATTTTAATCAGTATGATCCCCGAAATCAATGGAATCTGTGATACTTTCGATGTAGGATACTAAGCATAAGTGGAATCCTTGCCGCAGTGGACAAAGATATGACTCATGTGGACACTAGTGTCTAGCACACTGCCATGGAGGACCAATTATGACGAGGTACAAGAGCTAGTTGTAGGTCAGTCACACAAGTGATTGCACAAACAAAGGATATGTGGGTGGGTGATCTCTTCAAGTCCCACAAAACATGACACATTTGCAGCCTCAAACATTCAGAGGCCAACTTGTGCACACGAAGGATGCAGGATTAACTAGACTGAAGATGCGACTTTAAGGATCAAAACCCCAAACACTCACTGCACCCACCTTCCCATTTCAAAGTTTTATTTAAGTTGAGTGATTATTTCTTCTTCTAATTCCTTTGGAGAAAGAGTTTAGTTATTGCATGATTCATCAGTTATTAGCCTACTTAAACGACTTTTGATTGGCATGGAAAAGAAAATCTGGATTGGATGTTTAGTTTTTTTATGGAGGTTTTGTTGAAGGTTTTGTTGAAGCTTTTCTTTACTATGAGAATACTTAAAATATTAAAAGCTCTTATCTAACCAACCAAAACCATGTTACTCAAAAAACATGCATTTATTTCAATGCAACAACTGTTTCTATTGCTTTATTATCCAAAAAATTGCAATTTAATAATATTTTATTTTTTTAAAATAAATTTTATATTCATGTATTTTTTTAAGCTATGTCTAAGTTTAATGTTTATTCTAATTACTTCAAGTAAAATTAAAATTAGTTCATAACATTAAATTATAATTATTAATATTTATATTAGTGGTTGATTGAAAAATATATTTATTTCAAACAATGTATTTAAGACTTTTTCATATGATGATTTTAAATGCATAAAATTGTACACAATACATGACAACAAACATGTTATTTTTTTATTATTTCTATTTATATATTCTAGCATGTGTAGGGCTAACTTGAAAAACTTTATGCATGTTTAGCCAAAATGATCATTACAAAGGAAAGATCTAATAAGCGTAATGTAAAAAAATAAATAAAATATTGATTTTATAAAGAATTTAGATAATTCTTAAACTTTAACAAATCTTGGCATATTTTAAGGATTGTTGAAAGATCTCTACAAGTAATAGTGATATTTTTGCAATATTTAAGGTAAAAATGAAGACTCTTATTTTCATTGACACAATAGATTTTTTAAGTTGTACATAGAAGGTCTTATAAACTAAAAAGAATATTATATAGATCCTTAATAGCATTAATTAAATCAAGGATTTAACTAATATTTCTTTTTCTAATATATAAGTCTTTTCTTCTAAAGATAGAAATGTTTAATTTCTTTTTTCATACATCAACAACATTAGGGTCTTTGTAGACAAAATCATATATTTGGATGTTCTACAAATATATGAGTAAATTATAATAAATTTATTAGAAATCTTATCTCAATTTGAAAAAAATATGATTATTATTCTAGATATATGGTAAATGAAAATATTTACTTTTAGATTTGTGAGATTACAAGTACATCAAAAAATCTTAAAAAAGAAAAATACATAAAAATGAACAAAAGAAATATAGAGTTGATTGTACATAAATAGAAGAAAATAAAGATCAATCATGCATAAAATAAACTATTCACTTGTTTTGATGAAAGGATAGAATTTATGCTATAACAATATTAAAATTCATCTATGCCAATGTTTAAAGGTCTATGAAAAAGAAATGTGGTTGGGCAAACCGAGGTATTATTTGAGATTTATTGATGATAATCTTAAAAGGATATGGATATACTCATTGAAAGTCAAGAGCAAGTTTCGAGATGTTCTGAAATTGAAGGAGTTTATGAAGAAGTAAACAAAGAACTTTATTAAACTTTACTAACAGGGCTGTATCAATGGTAGGAAATACACATCTGTGCAGTTTAAAAGAGTACTTGGGTGTATCGATCAGGTTGGATTCCAACCCACAAGTTGTGGCTTCTTCTTATCACCTCAAAAGCAGTAGAGTTGTGAAGTGTGCCTCCATGTTCCTAGATCTCGATAGATTCGACAAAGCCCAGTTAGCAGTGACAATGTGATCCACTTTGTAGAATTTGCCTCAGAGACTGTAAAAAAAACTTGAGTCAAGTTTTTTAAGTAACTGCTGACTATGAAACTCTAGTCTGACGTAGAAACCCATCTCATCTACGATTTGAGGTTGGATGTGGCTGGAGACTTGGGATTCGTTTACGAAAGATGCTGTTTAATGTGAGGTTCGAAGCTTTGAACACCTTGACAAGCAGACGCAATTCCAGGTCTGCAGGCACTGGTTAACCTGGACGCAACCGAAGCAGCCTCACCTCACTCACTGTAGAGGTGGCTGTACGGGCACCAAGAAATTTAGGAGCACAAACGAAGTTAGACCGACTCTGAGGATAGTTTCATGTCGCACGAGATGTGGGGGGCTTGTGACGTCCGTTGAGTGCCGGAGAACGATGCCACCATTCTTCGTAACTGTTGTACGATTTGCTGTCCTTGATGAGCATGAGGATCTGGCAGTTACAGTTACAGCGCTTGCTGGTCCTCTTTTTTTTTTTTTTTTTTTTTTTTTTTCTCTCCCAGATTTCGTTCTCACAGTGCCAGCGCTCCCTGATCTTTGATGATTTTCCCCTGGAAATTCCAGGCAAGGCTAAAGTGGTACCAACATCCTCCATAACTGAAGCCCTTGTGTAACATTTGGCATCGATCATGGTTGGGCACTACAGATGAAGATCCAAAGAGTCAGCAAAAGTTTCTTATTGTTCTGGAAGAGAACCGTTGGGTTCCGCTCAATTCATTATTAAGACTGCTTGAAGTTGAAAGTATACAGCTAACAAATGCCTCGGTGCTAAGACTTAGCTAGGATTGAGATTTCTAGAACCGCCAGGACGTACTTGCATGGCATGTGGACGAGGAAGTGGAAGAGTCGTCACCGGGGGATTGATGAGCGCTCCGTGCATTCCAGATGAGCGCAGAGCGTGGGTCTCAAATCTCAAGAGGGCCATGGGAGGTCCCTCGACTGGGTAACTTCTGGCCTCGACAGCGAACTCAGTATTCATAACTTTTGTGAACTGGACAATGAACTTTCACAAATCATGGGATATCAAGTCTGAACAGTTTGAATAAAGTGGCAATGTTTGATGAAAACCTCAGCTCTATTGAACAAAGAATTTGAAACTACAATGTTTGGGAACCGACATATCCACAAGATTTTCCGAACACGCCCTTGGTCGTGTCAAGACCTCTTCGTGGTGATTTATTTGCGGTGTTGAAGATTCCTTTTGGCCTTCCAGAACTCTCTACATTAGCCATTACTCTTCTGCAATCTGAACTGCAGCAATACTATTATCTTTGCCAAGAACACAGACAATTTGTAAGTTAAATTACCTGTACAGGCTATCAGAACAATGCACTAGTTACATAAGTATTGGTAGCTTTCGTGGTCGAGGGAGTGGAAACTTTCCAACTATGAACAGAAATTCTAAATTTTCTATAGGCTTTCGCCACAAGCAGGCGGACAGGAAGCTGTTCCACTGTGGGTCGGCGTTGCGAAAACGATGATATAGTCATCTTACAGAGTTCCTCACAATTGTGAGGCAGACCCCCCTTCACAATCTTGCAAGAAGAAACCCATACTGAAGGAGAACGTACATTTGAGTACTTTAATGCGACTTCATATGATCATGGGCTTCCAAACTATCACATGTAAATTTGGTTCGAGCTAAAGTATAAAGGAAATGAAAAGCCAATTTGAAGATTTTTGCTCACCTTTCGCATCCCATTCCATGCCGGTAGGCTGACGGTCAGATCAATCACAGTATAGTCAAGGCTCCAGTTGTCCACTGCCGGGTCATGAGGGCGCTATTGCCTTTTTTTTTCTTTTTTTTTTTTTTTTTTTTTTTTTTCCTTTTTTTGTTTGGTAACAAGATCTGCGGCTGATACCCCGAGTGTCAAATTTAGACAAGACGAAAGTTCACAGAATTCCACAGAAATCGGTACCAGCTTCAGACCAGAGAAAGAGACAATCTGAGATTGCATATGCATTGAATTTTAAACGGTCAACGTCGATCTGCACGGAATTTGAGGATGATGCAGCTCTAGGAGTCTCGACGCACCCAACAGTTGGATTGCGACCAACAAGGCTGGAGGCATCGCAACGAAGCACCGGAGGAGCTCTCACATCTGTGTAAAGGGCGTATAAGATAGATTTGGAGTATCTCAAGAAACGTGCGATAGTTGCATACTTCGTTGGAGGTAAACAACCCTCCTTCGGTTATTTCAAGTTGGGTGGATTCATTACAAAAACAAGTTGGTGACTGGGTGGGAGTTGGGCGGATTCATTACAAAAACTGGTAAGAGGTTTCTTTCAGATCATAAGCTGCCAACCGGGAATTACACAAAAATTGTTAATGTTGACTCCTCACAAGTCCTGGTGGGGGACTTGTATCCTCCAAACTTGGACCCCCTGGTTTCAACAGTTCGCGGCCTTCAGGTCTGAAA